CTACTGGCGTTCATTTGCAATTTCAATAGAGCTCCAATAACATTGCACCTTTATGACATGTTCTAAAATTAATTCGGTTAAGTAAGATATCTAAGCATTCCTCCCCACCCCCGGTAACACACCTGTATGTATCATTAAATATTGTCCATTAACATTTCATTGTTATTATTGTAGTTAACGAAAGGTTATTTACTGATTAAGTCACCTCTCCTCTCCAGGCTACAAATCCAATAGTTTTGTGATTGCAACCTCTCTCCCCCAATTTAGCAAAGTCTTTTCTAACTGGGATCCTCTTAATTTTTACCTACAATTTTCAGGAGACACAAATCTTTTTTTTAAAAAAAAAAATCTGCATCTTCATCGGTAAGAATAAGTCCCATGGCATAGCAAAAAGCATATCAGATAGTATTTTTTTAATTAAAATTTGAGCTTTCAATGTGCAGCTTCCCTCTTAGGGATGACTTTCTGTAATTGTGTTTCTTCCTAGCAAATGTGACTCTGGATCCGGACACAGCTCATCCCAGGATCATCCTCTCAGAAGATCTTAAAAGCTGCTGGATGGGAACAAAAAGCCAAAAACTCGTCCAGGACAACAGGAGATTTGACCACATGATGTGTGTGTTGGGGCGCGAGAGGTTCGTCACCGGCAGGCATTATTGGGAAGTTGCTGTGGAAAACGAGGGCGACTGGGGTGTTGGAGTTGCCCGAAGTTCAGTGAAGAGAAAGGGTGTTAAGGCCCTTTGTAAAATGGAAGGGATCTGGGCAATGACAAAGCGTTATGGCAGCTTGTGGGAGTACATAAACCCCCCAGCGTTAATCTCTGAGCCAATACATTGGGAGATCAAGAAGATTCGAGTCTCCCTGAACTACCATGGAGGCCGAGTGGCTTTTTGTGATGGCGAGAGAGGAAACCTGCTCCATGCCTTCTCAGTAACTTCGTTTGCTGGAGAACCCATTTACCCTTTTTTTTGGATCCAGAAGAAAACCCGTATCTCGATTTGTCCCTAAGGCAGAAAAACCCACCACCAGATCCTTCTGCCTCTCGATCTTTCTTAGCATCAGTTTCCTTTTGTCTCTCTTTTTCCTCTCCATCTCATCCTCAGCACCAAACCCTTGGGATGAATTTTAGGTGCAAACTGAAAATGTGGAATCAATCTTTTACAAAGTTGCTACGTTCTTTTTAATGAAACCATGCCTGTTGTGAAATCCACCAGACTTGGAGGGATCAAAATTCCCAAGTAGTATTGGAGGGTGTTGTGTTGAGAAAGACAATCTCGGCTATTTTATCATTTTAATCTTTTAACAGAGGCTTCCAATTAAAGTTTTAATGCGGGGAACAGCTCTCAATATGGAGAAATAGAGCTGAACACAATCATTTCAGGGGATGTTATTTTGAACACATACACACACTTGATAATCATGGCAAGGTGATTCTTTTGCATAATAAAAGTGAAAACTAGTGTGGTTTTTTTTAGAATTTAATATGTGGTTTTTAATAAAGGATTATTATTATCTCCCTTTTTTGTGGTTCTTTTAGTTTTCAAACATTTCAGCCTCTTAAAAAAGTTCCTGTTTTAAGCATCAGCTTTTTGTCTTTTCCACCTTGCTACATGTGAGGCCGAAGTAGTTTGCGACTTCTTTCCTGGGTACTGGTGGTTCACTTTCCCCGTGCTCGATCAGCCTTCCTCAGAAGGAACGTTGGAAGGCAGATGTTGGAGTGGGCAGGGTTAGCCATTCATAGTGTTTGCAATAGTGGCAAATATCTATAACTCGGGTGTAGGGTGAAGGTGAAGGCTCATTATTTGTTTATATTTTTCATGGGGGTTCACCATCTATCCATCCTGGGTCCCTTGCCCAAAACAAGAATGAGCCTTTACTATTAGAAAAAAATGAGAGATAATTTCAATGCCTTTAAAGTGGAAGAAAACATTTGTAGCAATGCTATGTAATTTCAGCCTATTGTTGGAAGAAATATCCTGGGTTCAGTTCCAAGTGGGGAAAAAAACATTGGAAACATGGAGGCTGTTTGGAAAAATGGTTTAATGGTTTAATGGTGGACAGGATCACATGGCTTGAGCTCCTGAACAGAAAAGGGGGATCACATGCATCCAGATGTTGGGTGAAGAAGAAAAAGAGAACGAGAGGCTGAAAGTTCCTGGCTTTATACTCTCTGTTCGGCCCCACCTTTCCTGTTCCTGTATAAGAAATGTATTCTGATTGGTTGTCAGAATTCCATCGGGCCATGCAGGGGCAACTCTCTAGGGTGTGTTTTGAGACCAAGTTTGGTTGAGTTCCCAGATGCCATGTGGTGAGTTTCTGTAGAAGGCTACTCCTATCTTTGTTATGTAAAGTAAACTAATGGTCCCATCAAATCTCACCAGGCTCAAGGTTGACTCAGCCTTCCATCCTTCCCAGGTGGATAAAATGAGGACCCAGATTGTTGGGAGCGATATGGTGATTCTGTAAACCACTTAGAGAGGGTTGTAAAGCACTGTGAAGCAGTATATACGTCTAAGTGTTTATTGCTGTTGCTATTCTCTGAGTGAGTGGGTTGGTTTCCCAACATTTCGTTATCAGGCTAGGTAACATATTCAGTGTTTAAGGCATCCCCTAAACTCCACCGAAGATGTTACCTAGCCTGGAAAGGAAACATTTGGAAACCAACCCACAAACTAGGAGAACAAACCTTCATCCTCATTCATAGTGTTTCTCATGCTCTCTATAGCATCTTTTGAGCAAGATATCAGATCCCGCAGCAAATTGAGCTGGTCTGGTCTCAATAGCTAATTAGGGTTAATATATGTTAATATGTTGCAGAAAATGACAGGCGTTAGACTTCTCAGGATACAGGAAAAGTTTATTTGGCAGCCAGGTTCAGAAAAGCTAGCCCATGGCTAGCATTCCAAGTTCTGAACAACCTTAATTATCGAAGCACACATTCTTATATATTCTCAAAAGCATTGCAACACGGAAATACTTAACACATTTCTTAGTGGTTACCTTGAGGAGAAAGCCTTATA